GAGTCAGTCTTGCATTCAACCTCACTCCTTCAAGGGAAGTGTGGGGCTCTGATATGGTTGGCAATGTAGGTCAGCGTTGCGATTACACATACTCGTTCAAGGGAAGTGTGGGGCTCGGATAAGCTTGACAATGACAGGCAGCCTTGTGATCAGATACCCGGTGATTCGGGCTATGTATTGCTTGGCAGTGAGCTATGAGTTTTGCATTCAACCTCACTCCTTCAAGGGTAGTGTGGGGCTCTGGTATGCTTGACAATGTGGTGCAGCCTTGTGATTACCCATGCCCGGTGATTCGGGTCGTGTATTACTTGGCATTGAGCTATGAGTCAGTCTTGCATTCAACCTCACTCCTTCAAGGGAAGTGTGGGGCTCTGATATGCTTGACAATGTGGGGCAGCCTTATGATCACTAACCCGGTGATTCGGTCCATGTATTGCTGGGCATTAAGCTTTGAGTCAGTCTTACATTGAACCTCACTCCTTCAAGGGAAGTGTGGGTCTCTGTTTACTTGGCTATGTGGGGCAGCCTTGTGATAACACATACCTGGTGATTCGGGCCGTGCACCACTTGGCAGTCGGCTATGAGTCAGTCTTGCATTCAACCTCACTCCTTCAAGGGAAGGGTGGGGCTCTGATAAGCTTGACAATGTGGTTCAGCCTTGTGATTACCCATACCCGGTGTTTCGGGCCGTGTATTAATTGGGATAGAGCTATGAGTCAGTCTTGCATTCAACCTCACTCCTTCAAGGGAAGTGTGGGGCTCTGATAAGCTTGACAATGTGGTTCAGCCTTGGGATAACACATACCTGGTGATTCGGGCTGTGTACCACTTGGCAGTCAGCTATGAGTCAGTCCTGCATTCACCCTCACTTCTTCACGGGAAGTGTGGGGCTCTGATATGCTTGACAATGTTGTTCAGCGTTGTGATTACACATACCCGGTGATTCGGGCCGTGTATTACTTGGCATTGAGCTATGAGTCGGTCTTGCATTCAACCTCACTCCTTCAAGGGAAGTGGGGGGCTCTGATAAGCTTGAGAATGTGGTTCAGCCTTGTGATTACACATGCACGGTGATTCGGGCCGTGTATTACTTCGCATTGAGCTATGAGTCAGTCTTGCATTCAACCTCACTCCTTCAAGGGAAGTGTGGGGCTCTGATAAGCTTGACAATGAGAGGCAGCCTTGTGATCAGATACCCGGTGATTCGGGCTATGTATTGCTTGGCAGTGAGTTATGAGTTTTGCATTCAACCTCACTCGTTCAAGGGAAGTGTGGGGCTCTGGTATGCTTGACAATGTTGTTCAGCCTTGTGATTACACATACCCGGTGATTCGGACCGTGTACCACTTGGCATTGAGCTATGAGTCAGTCTTGAATTCAACCTCACTCCTTCAAGGGAAGTGTGGGGCTCTGATAAGCTTGACAATGTGGTTCAGCCTTGTGATTACACATACCCGGTAATTCGGTCCGTGTACTACTTCGAATTGAGCTATGAGTCACTCTTGCATTCAACCTCACTCCTTCAAGGGAAGTGTGGGGCTCTAATAAGCTTGACAATGAGGTTCAGCCTTGTGATTACACATACCCGGTGATTCGGACCGTGTACCACTTGGCAGTCAGTTATGAGTCAGTCTTGCATTCAACCTCACTCCTTCAAGGGAAGTGTGGGGCTCTGATAAGCTTGACAATGTGGTTCAGCCTTGTGATTACACATACCCGGTGATTCGGACCGTGTACCACTTGGCAGTCAGCTATGAGTCAGTGTTGCATTCAACCTCACTCCTTCAAGGGAAGTGTGGGGCTCTGATAAGCTTGACAATGAGAGGCAGCCTTGTGATCAGATACCCGGTGATTCGGGCTATGTATTGCTTGGCAGTGAGCTATGAGTTTTGCATTCAACCGCACTCCTTCAAGGGAAGTGTGGGGCTCTGGTATGCTTGACAATGTGGTGCAGCCTTGTGATTACACATAACCGGTGATTCGGGCCGTGTACCACTTGGCAGTCAGGTATGAGTCAGTCTTGCGTTCAACCTCACTCCTGCAAGGGAAGTGTGGGGCTCTGATAAGCTTGACAATGTGGTTCAGCCTTGTGATTACACATACCCGGTGATTCGGGCCGTGTATGACTTGGCATTGAGGTATGAGTCACTCTTGCATTCAACCTCACTCCTTCAAGGGAAGTGTGGGGCTCTGATATGCTTGACAATGTGGTTCAGCCTTGTGATTACACATAACCGGTGATTCGGGCCGTGTACCACTTGGCAGTCAGGTATGAGTCAGTCTTGCGTTCAACCTCACTCCTGCAAGGGAAGTGTGGGGCTCTGATAAGCTTGACAATGTGGTTCAGCCTTGTGATTACACATACCCGGTGATTCGGGCCGTGTATGACTTGGCATTGAGGTATGAGTCACTCTTGCATTCAACCTCACTCCTTCAAGGGAAGTGTGGGGCTCTGATATGCTTGACAATGTGGTTCAGCCTTGTGATTACATATACCCGGTGTTTGGGCCGTGTACTACTTGGCATTGAGCTATGAGTTTTGCATTCAACCTCACTCCTTCAAGGGAAGTGTGGGGCTCTATTAAGCTTGACAATGTGGTTCAGCCTTGTGATTACACATACCCGGTGATTCGGACCGTGTACCACTTGTTAGTCAGTTATGAGTCAGTCTTGCATTCAACCTCACTCCTTCAAGGGAAGTGTGGGGCTCTGATATGGTTGGCAATGTGGGTCAGCGTTGCAATTACACATACTCCTTCAAGGGAAGTGTGGGGCTCTGATAAGCTTGACAATGATAAGCTTGACAATGAGAGGCAGCCTTATGATCAGATACCCGGTGATTCGGGCTATGTATTGCTTGGCAGTGAGCTATGAGTCTTGCATTCAACCTCACTCCTTCAAGGGAAGTGTGGGGCTCTGATATGCTTTACAATGTGGTGCAACCTTGTGGACACAAACCTGTTGATTCGGGCCATGTATTGCTCGGCATTGAGCTTTGAGTAAGTTTTACAACAAACCTCACTCCTTCAAGGGAAGTGTGGGGCTCTGTTTACTTGCAGCAGCATAACATCGTGAGCGTATATTGTATCTGTGATTACACTGTAGTTGATGCCAATGGACTTGGTTTGTGTCTTATGTTCCATCTCTGCTGCGGACCCACTGTGTTGTTTGAAGTCGGATCTGTTCTTTTTTATTTTTTTATTTTTTTACTACGTTCACATAACCAGCTCGAAAAGAATTAAGGAAAGACAATGGTACGGAGACTAGGACAAACGTGACAACTAATGAGCAGGCGCTGCACCTAGATGCAGCAGTGATGGTGGGGCATTGATGACTCTGCTGACCTGAGGTCTCGGCGTCACGGTCAAAAACACGCACCAAAAACAATGAAGAAAGAAGAAGATAGAGCTGTACAGGTGAGAAAGATGCAAAAACCCAAGGCTTAACACGAGCGATTGTGGTGGAGAAACTGTCTTAGCGTCATACTATTCATAGGGAATCGACTGCCCAGAGCCAGTTTGTGCTGCGAAGATGGCGGTTAACATTCGTTTTGAATGATTGCATTCTCTTGCTGTGGGGAGGCTGGGATAGGAGAGCGGCAGGGAGGGAGTTCCAATCGCTGATGCTGCAGTGTGGGAACGAGCGCTTCAGTGCCATCGGGGCAGATGCAGGCAGCTGGTGTTGGAGCTGGTGGTCATGGCCACTGACAGCACCGTGCTCGCTGCGAGTTCTGGGGTTGGTAGAGATGATGTGGCGCGGTGGCAACACAGAGAGCAGCTGCGGAGGACCAGGCAAGTAGTGCAGCTTGTACAGGCAGGCAAGCGAGGCAACGGTGTTCTTGGACATCTTCTTATCCTGTGCTGAGTGAAGGCCAGTCCGCCAATTCAACTCCCACATTTAAGGTACTATCAAGAGTAGATATACAAGATTGTGCAATTCCGCTTCGTTTGGACCATGGCAAAAAAGTTTTGTTTCGGTAGCAGCCTTGTCGTAAATTTCATATGGCATTCAATTGACCGTAACTTTGGTGTCTCTCGATGGATTTGAATGAATTTTTCACCACACACTCCTGCCACTATGCTGGCCCTCTGGACATGATTTAAAAGTTCTTGCGCCTCACTGACAGGCTTTCCGGGCCGGAAAAACTCAAAATTCCGGCATATTGCCACGGTGTGTGAGCCACCCAGGAGCCAAAATATGCATTTACAATTTTTTCACATTTTCTTGCCCATTCTGTCCGTGCACGGGATCCAAACCTAAAAAAAGTCCAGAAGCTGCCATGGGTGGTAGGATAGGGCCCTTCAATGTGGCCCTGGAATCTGTCACAACGGCAGGAGTGGGCGTTGTCTCACAGACTCCCACAGACCCAAGTCAATTTTTGAATTTTTTAGGTTTAGGGTGTGCTACGAGGTCGTACCTTTGATACAACATCCAGTGCTGGGACCTCCACAGCAAGCCATTTCCAAAGCGCTGCAAACTGAATCCAGGATACCCTCAAAAATCGGCAAAGACTACCACTTACGTTCCACTACTGCCTAGTACTGAATCCTACCTGACTTCTTGACACGACTCAAACTTGCCAAAGTCACTAAATCAACGCCAACTACAATAATCAAGTCACATATCTGCAACGTCACGAGGGTGCTGGCAAAAGTCCTGCTGCACGAAGCCCGCCGCCGTGCAGCCCAATACGTGGCTTAAAAACGTGATTTTTGGACTTGGAGCAAAATTCTGCACACTTTCGCGTGTTTCCATGATACGACAAGTTGCGCACGGTCTGCTCACATTCAAATACAGTGCTGCCAACAAATGACAGTGTGCAACACAAAATCTTTCCTTGCAAGGGCACATTTTTGGCCATAACTCTTGAACGGCTGGTCAGATCGAGACAACATTTTCAGAGATTTTGCAGCTGTTCATGCTATTTCAACTGATGTAGCACTCGATATGAATTTCTCAAATTTGATTTTTCAGGGATTTACGACCAGGCTGCCCCCATAATGGCAAGTTTTCCGGAGATCATCAGTAATACTGTATGTGCCATGTACAACAAGTCTGTGGCCGTGTGGACTTTACTGGGTTTCACTTAACCTGCATAACTTGCGACTTCAGCGCCACAGTTTCAGAGTGATACATTTGAGTGGCAGCACTTCAGCGCCCCATTTCAACCATGATTATCTGCGCGGTAAAGTACAGCGCCAAGAAGTTTAGCGCAGTAAACTACAGCGCGAACATATACAGCGCGAACATGTACAGCGTGAACAAGTACAGCGCGAACAGGCACAGCGCGAACAAGTACAGCGCGAACAAGTTCAGCGCGAACAGGTACAGCGCGAACAGGTACAGCGCGAACAGGTACAGCGCGAACAAGTACAGCGCAAACAAGTACAGCGCGAACAAGTACAGCGCAAACAAGTACAGCGCGAACAAGTACAGCGCGAACAAGTACAGCGGGAACAAGTACAGCGGGAACAGGTACAGCGCGAACAGGTACAGCGCGAACAGGTACAGCGCGAACAAGTTCAGCGCGAACAGGTACAGCGCGAACAAGTTCAGCGCGAACAGGTACAGCGTGAACAAGTACAGCGCGAACAGGTACAGCGCGAACAGGTACAGCGCGAACAGGTACAGCGCGAACAGGTACAGCGCGAACAGGTACAGCGCGAACAAGTACAGCGCGAACAAGTACAGCGCGAACAAGTACAGCGCGAACAAGTACAGCGGGAACAAGTACAGCGCGAACAGGTACAGCGCGAACAGGTACAGCGCGAACAGGTACAGCGCGAACAGGTACAGCGCGAACAGGTACAGCGCGAACAGGTACAGCGCGAACATGTACAGCGCGAACAGGTACAGCGCGAACAGGTACAGCGCGAACAGGTACAGCGCGAACAAGTTCAGCGCGAACAGGTACAGCGCGAACAAGTACAGCGCGAACAGGTACAGCGCGAACAGGTACAGCGCGAACAGGTACAGTGCGAACAAGTACAGCGTGAACAAGTACAGCGCGAACAGGTACAGCGCGAACAGGTACAGCGCGAACAAGTACAGCGCGAACAAAAACAGCGCGAACAAGAACAGCGCGATAGAATACAGCGCGATAAAATACAGTGTGAACAAGAAGAGCGAGATCAAGTACAGCGCGAATATCTCGAAGTCTGTGGCCGTGTGGACTTTACTGGGTTTCACTTAACCTGCATAACTTGCCACTTCAACGCCACAGTTTCAGAGTGATACATTTGAGTGGCAGAACTTCAGCGCCCCATTTCAACCATGATTATCTGCGCGGTAAAGTACAGCGCCAAGAAGTTTAGCGCAGTAAAGTACAGCGCGAACATGTACAGCGCGAACATGTACAGCGCGAACAAGTAAAGCGCGAGCAAGTACAGCGCAAACAAGTACAGCGCAAACAAATACAGCGCGAACAAGTACAGCGCAAACAAATACAGCGCGAACAAGTACAGCGCGAACAAATACGGCGCGAACAAGTACAGCGCGAACAAAAATAGCGTGAACAAGTACAGCGCGAACAAGTACAGCGCGATAAAATACAGCGCGATAGAATACAGCGCGATAAAATACAGCGTGAACAAGAAGAGCGAGATCAAGTACAGCGCGAATATCTCGAACTCCAAATGTCTGTGTGTTCAGTGTGTCTGTGTGTTCAGTGTGTTCAGTGTGTCTGTGTGTTCAGTGTGTCTGTGTGTTCAGTGTGTCTGTGTGTTCAGTGTGTCTGTGTGTTCAGTGTGTCTGTGTGTTCAGTGTGTCTGTGTGTTCAGTGTGTCTGTGTGTTCAGTGTGTCTGTGTGTTCAGTGTGTCTGTGTTTTCTGTGTGTTCTGTGTGTTCAGTGTGTCTGTGTGTTCAGTGTGTTCTGTGTGTTCAGTGTGTCTGTGTGTTCAGTGTGTCTGTGTGTTCAGTGTGTTCAGTGTGTCTGTGTGTTCAGTGTGTCTGTGTGTTCAGTGTGTCTGTGTGTTCAGTGTGTTCAGTGTGTCTGTGTGTTCAGTGTGTCTGTGTGTTCAGTGTGTCTGTGTGTTCAGTGTGTCTGTGTGTTCAGTGTGTCTGTGTGTTCAGTGTGTCTGTGTGTTCAGTGTGTCTGTGTGTTCAGTGTGTTTGTGTGTTCAGTGTGTCTGTATGTTCAGTGTGTCTGTGTGTTCAGTGTGTCTGTGTGTTCAGTGTGTCTGTGTGTTCAGTGTGTCTGTGTGTTCAGTGTGCCTGTGTGTTCAGTGTGTCTGTGTGTTCAGTGTGTCTGTGTGTTCAGTGTGTCTTTGTGTTCAGTGTGTCTGTGTGTTCAGTGGCGTTGGACGGTAGGTTAGGATGGTACTGTGAGTCATCTGAGATACAAGTTACTGGTTTGGAGGGTTGACTCCGCTGAAAAAGTTTGAAATTTCCAGCCCAAATCAGTGCTTTTGATTGATTCACGGGGTACCTGTGGCAAGAGTGGTGCGGTCAATACCGCAGTGACCGTAGCGTGTCCGACGCCCCTGGTGTTGGTTGCTGATTGGTTTCATATCTTTTTTGTTGTTTTGGATACTGATAGTGGCGGCGTGCTGTTCGTTCACACTACAAGACAGTATTCTGGGTCAGGTAAGATTCTCTTACTGCTGCTTGCACTGTTGTTACTTATCTTGCTGCTGCTGCTGCTGAGCCCGCTCACGCTCTCGAGAGAACCGATACACTTTCTAAAAATTGATATCGTTGTACGTGCGGCTGCGCTTGTAGCTCTTCATGGTACATGCGGCTGTGCTTGTGTCTCTTTGTCGTACATGCTGCTGCGCTGTCTTTGACTCCTGTGTACATGCGGCTGCACCGCCCTCTGTCCCCTCCGTGTACACACTTTGTCGTCTTGTCCACGTTGTATGCGCATTTTCCCGTCTTGTCCCCTTTGTATTCGTCTGTTTGCCATCTTGCTGCTGTCGTATTTGATCGTCTACCAACTTGGTCTCACTCCTCGTTCGGGACTCTTTGTATCACGCACTGACACCTATTTCGTCTCCACCATTTTCTTCATGTGTTCTACTCTTCATCATATAATTCCTTGTCTCGTCTTGTCTCGGTGTCAAGTTGTCTTGTCGTCTCCTCAGAGCAGGAACTTAATAATACTCTCTATAACTAAACAAGACTAACTAACTTGCTTGGCCTTTTAGTGTGTGACGCGGTCATGCAAGAAGAGTGTAGCACGTCCTTTAGCAGCTGAGAACATTCCAGTAGAGCATGAGACTCTTAATCTCAGGGTTGTGGGTTCGAGCCCCACGTTGGGCGCCAAATGTCGTCAGCTAAATATGAGGAGCTACACTCCTCTTGCGTGATTGCGCCACACACCCAAAGGCCAAGTTACTTGTTTCGAGGGACAATTGACACCGAAACAGGGGAATATATTATAAAAGCTTACAACGGGGGACAAGACGAGAAAGTATGTATACAACAGGGACAGAAGACGGTCCAGCCGCATGTACACAGGAGTCAAAGACAGCGCAGAATATCGTGAGCGTATATATTGTATCTGTGTTTACACTGTAGTTGATGCCAATGGACGTGGTTTGTGTCTTATGTTCCATCTCTGCTGCAGACTCATTGCATTTGTCATGACCCGGATCAGACTCGTCGTGAAAGCGACCACGCATTGAGTTCAGCAGCCAAAAGCTGGGCTCTAAAATATGCTAGAGTTCTGTAAGAACCATGATTAGTCCTGCGAAGGATTTGGCACTTTCGTTAGTTCAGCAATCATGGCTTACAACTTGTGACCTAGAGCCGCAAAGTGTGGTCGTACGTTGGCCACACCTTGAGTACAAGTCATCAGCATTGTACTCACTACACCTTTGGGCTGGAGGTGACCACGCTTAGTCCTGCAAGGGAGCTGATACCTTTGTTAGTTGAGCAAGAGTGGCGCCTCTTCTTGTGTCGTAAGACACAAAGGGTCGACAGTACTTCGCGTACTCTGGACCCCAGGCCCGTTGACGTCTGCTGCTATGTTTGGGGGAAGAGCCCATATTGGGTGAAGCCACAAGAACGACACAGGTACGCTTTCCGCCTGCTGCAATGCATACCAGCCACCGGATCGCAGATCAAGATCATGCCAGCATTTGGAGAACACTGTATTCACATTTGGGTGAGCGGGCTCCGCGTATCGATCATTGTATTATATTCTAGTTTGGCTGATTGCATATGTAGGACTCAGTGACCAGTCAAGGCCCCGTGACCAATCACGGTCCCCGTGACCAGTCAAACAGTCACAAACCCCCCATGACCAGTCACAAATTAGTTTACCAGTCACATTGCCCCATGACCTGTCAAACATCACCATACATGTACATGTGTAAAGCACACAGTTCGTGACTGCTCGCAGGGTGCTTCGTACTGCAGGATTTGTTGTGGAAACTATAATTCCCTATGAGCGGTCACAGAATACAGTTGTGACCACTATAATTCCATGCGAACAGTTACACGCGGAATGTACAGTTGTGACCACTCTTTCTCTGTGTGTAGTCACAGGCAGAATAGAGGTATTTCTGTATTACAAGAGAGATTGGAGGCTCTGTCACGACTCTGAGTTTCACGTATTACTACGATCGTCAGGCAACTGATGGCTCCTAAACGGGCAGCCTGAACATAAGGGGGAGCAAGGTGGGAAATTCTGAGGGGTATCATAGGCGACGGGTATCATAGCGCAAGAGTCAAGTGCAGGCATGAATTTGCCAAACCTTGAGACTTGGGGCTATGCAGCAGCAGTTCCAGCGTGAATGACATAGAATAGAGCTGGTGACTTAAATGCCAAATCCACACATGCCCACACCATTACACACATACACCCACACTCTCTCCCTTTTCTCACATACACATACACGCGCGTACACGCGCACACACACACACACGCACACACACACTCATTCTCTTAATCTCTCTCTCTCACACACGCACGCACATTCATTCTCTACATCACACACACACACACACACACCTGGCCTGGTGTACAGCTGCCAAATGCTTGGCCACGCCGCCCCCGAGACAGAAGGAGAGTAGAAGAGAGAGTTTGAGACACACACACACACACACACACATCCACACACACGCACACACACACACACACATACACACACACACATTCTCTAAATCTCTCTCACACACACACACACACATTCTCTCTCTCTCTCTCTCTCACACACACACACACGCACTCTCTTTCTCACGCATGCACACACACACTCACACATGCGCGCGCACACTTACTCACACACACACACAAATAGGCAGCGGGACTACCAGTTAGATTCACGTGACCTTGCGGACAAAGTTGCGGAGGTAGAACTTGTTTTCATGACGACACTTGGACACAAGTACTTCTGTATTATTTTTATCTCTTTGCAACAAATCCACAAGCCAAGAAGAGATGCGTAGACGGAAGAACCGTACTCTTGGTGATACTGATCGCAAACATGATTAATTCCTCCAGGCCATTGAGCACCCAATTCTAAACCGTATCTAAGCAAAGCTCTTGTCAAAGCAGCATGCCAGTTCAAGAACATCTCGTCAGACATTCATATCGATACATGTCTGGTGCACTCTCACTAACAAGCAGGCATCGCAGGCTACATTCGCACCAGCAATCAAAAGAAGTTGAAGTGAGTGAATATTTCTATAAAATTAATAATTAGAAGACAAATGAAGGTGTGGAAGATCGCCCAAAACCACTGACAAGGAGACAGTAAACGGTACACAGTACTCGTATGCATGTACTTATACACGTTATAGCAGCACAACGAGAAGGACTATGTACCATAATGTTGCATCAATAAATTTTACAGAGTTATTTCGGGAGTGGGAATGAAGATGTGTTCGAAGCAGTCAACTGCGTAAGCACTACGTTGAGCTAGAGTAATGAAATACAGTTTCCTGCAGTCAAAACAAGACACTCACACTTCTCTGGTCTAGTTCGCCATTCTTATCGCTAGGCAGTTTCAGTTTCAACAAGCTGGACATTGTTTTTCTGTGGAGTCTTCCACAAGAAAGACAGAGCTACACACACGAAGGTGCTTGATGTACTCAGTACCTTCTTGGAGATGAACATATTTTCATTTCCATCTTCATTATATTTTTGTCTCTGCATCGTCGACGATGTCCACTTCTGACTCCGTAATCTTATCACCCATCCTCTCCAAAAACACAAATGGAGTGCTGCTTGCATGCTGGATCAGTTGAAGTTAGTCTCTGTTCTAGCAAGATCGGCATGCAAAAATTCCATGACTGAAAAATTCCGAAATAGCTTTTCTGAACGACGAAGTTTGTTCTTCAAATATGATAAATAGCACAATCTACTAGCCAGAACGTCCTCTCAAAAGAGATTCTATCTGAAGCCTGCAAGATTTTTCGACCACCCTTCGTTTTGGAGAGGAGCCCACACACACCAGACTCGAGCTACAAGTAAACTACGCGGAGATCGAGAGTTAAAGGGGAAGTTAAGGAAAAAATCAAAATTTCACCAGTTGTAGTCTTCGGGGTGCTGAGTCGAATGGTCTTGGTCCGAGAAAGCTGAAACGCTCCCTTCCTACTTGAATCCCAATCGAACTCGCGCACTTCCACCGAAACTGGGTGACTGCGCCCTGCTAGATGGGGATTTGTATGCAAAATGTCACTAAAAGCGCCATTTCGTTCTTATAAAAGCACGGATGACCGCGATTGGCCCATATGTTGTAGTCTTTTGGACGCTAAGTCGACTGGTTTTGGTCCGAAAAGGCTGCGATGCAGCGTTCGGCCCTTATTCCCAATCGAACGTGGTTGAACAAGCGGTCACGTGCTCCTGGGTGCCCACATCACCTGGTCACCACGCCAGCAGGCGACAACTTTCACACCAAGGTTCAACTCGAGTTCAACTCGAGTGACAGGCTTGTAAGGTGTACCCTGCAGGCACGGTGACCAGGTGACTGGTGTACGCAGGAGCACGTGACCGCTTGTTCAACCATGTTTGATTGGGAATAAAGGAGGAACGCTGCATCGTAGCCTTTTCGGACCAGTCACCCAGTTTCGGTGGAAGTGCGCGAGTTCGATTGGGATTCAAGTAGGAAGGGAGCGTCTCAGCTTTCTCGGACCAAGACCATTCGACTCAGCACCCCGAAGACTACAACTGGTGAAATTTTGATTTTTGCCTTAACTTCCCCTTTAACCGAAATCTTTCTTGCTCTCACTTCTGAAACCTGTGAAGGAAAAAAGTATGCTGAACGCGTGAATGCCTACAGTTGAGTCGTACTATTTTGACGTGGATCCTGTGACCGTTCACAGAGAAAGTCGCGGCTGTTTCTGACCGGTCATCGGGATTCAAACTGGTGTGTGACTTTATGACTGCTCTTCGGGGATTTGTGACTGTTTGATTGGTCACGGGGATCGTGATCGGTCATCGAGACGTGACTGCTCACTGAGTCCTACACATATAATTGCACCACTGCTTGAAGTTTAGAAATAATCCTTACGCATTCTTGCCGCTGTATACTTTTGATCACATAATGTAGCATATATAAGGAGCTGTTTTGCTAGCATTCATCCTCGACGTGTGGACTTTACTGGGTTTCACTTAACCTGCATAACTTGCGACTTCGGCGTGATCCATTTGAGTGGCAGCACTGTGACTTCAGCGCCAGATTTCACAGCGCCATGACTATCAGCGCGGTAAGTTACAGCGCCAAGAAGTTCAGCGCAGTATAGTACAGCGCGAACAAGTACACAGCGCGAACAAGTACAGCGCGAACAAGTATAGCACGAACAAGTACAGCGGGAATAAGTACAGCGCGAACAAGTACAGTGCAAACAACAACAGCTCGATAGAATACAGCGCGATTACTACAGTGTGAATATCTCGAACTCCAAATGTCTGTATGTTCAGCGGCGTCAGATGGTAATTTCGGGTGGTAGAGGGGTCTACGGTCTACGGTCTACAGTCAGTCATCTCAGGTACAAGTTACTTGTTGAGAGTGGTGACTCCGCTGAAAAATTATAAAATTTCGAGCCCAAATCAGTGCTTTTGATCGATTCACGGTGTACCTGTGGCAAGAGTGGTGCGGTCACTACCGTAGTGACCATAGCGTGTCCGACGCCCCTGGTGTTGGTTGCTGATTGGTTTCACCATCTTTTTGTTGTTTTGGATACTGATAGTGGCGGCTTGCTGTTCGTTCACACTACAAGACAGTATTCTGGGTCAGGTAAGATTCTCTTACTGCTGCTTGCACTGCTCTTACTTATCTTGCTGCTGCTGCTGCTGCTGACCCCGCTCACGCTCTCGAGAGAACCTAAACACTCTCTAAAAATTGATGTTGATGTACATGCGGCTGCGCTTGTAGCTCTTCGTCGTACATGCAGAAAATGACAATGACCATCCTCATCCTCATCACGTTGTGTAGCTGGACATAGACAAGTTCACAAAGAAAAAGAGCCACATTTCTCTGAAGAACTCGACCAGGGCTGCTGAAAGCTGAAAAATACCCGTTCTCCAAGTTTGGGGCATTTTACCCGTGAATCTTTATTTTGCGACTAAACTATTCACAGCGGTGCCAAATTTTCTGGGTCACAGAATGTGGATGCTAGCGCCCTAGAAGCAAACCAAAAATTAAATTAATGCGACCACTGACATTACAGCTGGGTT